ACTTTACGCTCCCACACTTTCGGTGAAGTTTTGTGACAGTGCTAAAAAGCTTCCAAGGTGTCAATCCAAACAGGACAATTCTTCATTACTTTCAGAAATTGTAACATGTGCTACATAGATTTTTTTCCTAATTATCTTTGCTTGAACTCTGCTATGCTACCAAAACTGTGCCCTACTGTAGTTCTTTAATAAGCTAATTGACATATTAATGGTGTTTTTTGGCTGCTGCTGATAGAAACTGGAGCATGAAATGAAAACATATGTATTGCTGTACAGATTTGCCCAATTAGATATGTTACAATGCTACACCATGTGAGCATGAGCAGATGAATGCCTAATAGGCCACACTGACTTCTGAAGGCCACAAATGGCGTAATCATGCAGCCGTGAGATGGTATACCGCCATTTAGCCAAGCAGCTGAAAGGCGGCACCATCATTTTCAAAGCCAGCTGCAGCTGAGAGGAGTACAAAAACTGGAAAGCTACAGTTGGAGACTATTGCATCAAACTGGCAAGGCTAATATGGTGTTTGATCTTTCAGACATCCTTTAAAGGGTGGCAGAAACCATGCTTGCACAAAGCAGTAGCAGCTATCAGTAACGCACGGCTGTAGGATACTATTAGAATATCAAGCCCTGCTGTGTACACACATACTACTAGTTTTTGATTAAAACCATTCTCTCCTGCTGTGCCTTTGGCCTTTCACCTAGGCAATCTCCATCTGGTTGTGCATTCTAATAACCCAGCCAGAGCAGTACCAAATCTTCCAAGCTGTCTGAGGGCTCATACTCATGAATTGTGGTGAGAATTCTTCATAGACCACCCTCTGCTAGCCCAGAAGCATTCTGATGCTTTTAGCAACCTTGAGAAGAAGGATAAGCCAAAAGTGTGGTGCTGAAAGGGCTATGAAAAGCACATGAGAAGAGAGAAGGATGTAAACTAAGAGCAGGTTATGCAAGGGCTGTGGGACAAGCATAATGTATGCTCTAAAGAGGAGATAGTGCCACTAAGTGTGTATTGGGACTACTCTGGCCTTAGCACAAACTAACTACTGGCTCAGATCTACTAGTGTGGACTGGCAACATGCTGACAAACTCTCACAGGTTTTATCTTTGGCTTGCAGCAGCCAAGAATACATTGCTGATGCACCTCGAGAACTGTGGCAAGCAAGATCCATCAGTCTGACAGTGAGCCAGGACAACTAAAGATGCTAGTGCACATCTGATGGCCATGCCTGTAGCAGTTGCATCACTAGCTGTTGGTGATATCTATTCCACAGCTACACTAGGCCATTATCCATATTTCCTCCCACTTTTTATTCATGCTGGACAATTAGGACCATCAACAGCACCTGCAGCCAAGTTTGAAGTAGCTGATTCAGCTTCTGCTGCACATTTTGCGCTGAATCTGTAGCTTCTTGCTATGCCACAGCTAGTTGACACCGCACAGCTGATGTACCCTTCATCTCACCTTCACTATATGATCTCAAACAATCTGCATCAAGTGGTTATGGTACCCCTGTATCAACTGAAGGTACATGCTCTACTGTATTGCTTGAATTTTGTATTTATTTAATCAGAAATATTACTATAGTCACTGTGCTGTCTCTACTCAGCACACAATTCAGTTACAATAGTTACATGAGCTGTGAAGCACACTATATGACAAAGTTCCGGTTGACTTGGATCAACTATAAGCTGGCCAGAAGTAAAATCAAATCAAATAGAGCAGAATTTGCTAGCTAAAATAAAAAATGGAAACATCAGACACATTTACATCTAAACTAAAGCTTGTGCAGCTTGCATATCAGCATTATTTTATATTACTTACCAATATAGTAAATATAGCCTACAAACATAACGAGGTAGTATTTTCAGTTTGTATGCTGTACTATATATAGCCTGAATTCAGCCAGTATACTTTTAGCCAACATATATTTTTGGCTAATTATTTTTATTTAGTGTGCATTCTCAATTAATATTTATCTTTGATTGATATGTGATTAAATCAGTGCACATCTTTAGCTAGTATGTATCTGTAATCAATACATAGCTGCTACTATCAATACTGTCTATTTCAAGTTTTACACATATAAAGCCAATATATTTTGACCACTAGTATAGTTAATTAAAAGACCAACATTAATACTACTTGTTCACAGACATGAAAGGTGCTGCAACATTAGTTAAAAAGCTGTTACTATTGCTAACATTAGCTACAATGACATTGTCAGATGTGAGTTTCTGGCAAGTTGCTTTGATAGCAAAAATCTGGCAACAAAAGCTTAAAACTAGCTACTGTTGAGCAAGCAGTTAAATCCAGCATTTTAAATTGTATATATGGCTAGAAATTACAAAGTGCATGGAAACCAAGCCAGCACAGATTGTGCCAGTTTAGAGATCTGACTACAATTGAATTAGTATGTAGGCCAGATCAGTATAATTTAGTCAAGAATAGACAATAGCTTTTGTTACAAGCTGCAATGATACTTGGTGCATGTTTCATATAACATTTGTAAATCTGGCCGGATACCAGATGTTCTATATTTTATGGCTTTTTGTCATGTCTATTTGGACAAAATGTATGAAGAGTGCTACTGAATGCATTGCACTCAGTACTATCTCTGGACATTAAGACCTTCCATTTGCAAGTTCATCTACTGTTTCTACTCCAGAACTAGCATATAGTTCCTATCCACTTGCTGGCAGCAAACATCTATGGCACTCACTTTCACAATATTTGCTTGTATCTTTACCACATTCATCTGACTCATCAAGCTTTGCAGCTGAGACTTGGTTGCCTCAGTGTCAACAGTAATTTGAAACCTTGTTAGCCTACTTTACGGCATCTGCAGATCTTTCCCATTTATAGGTTGAAGATCTGAAGTGGAAGTGATTCCTTTCTGAGTTTGTTCCTAGCACATGCCCCTTCTCTCAGAAGACACTTACAAACCACCTCATTTCATCAGCGTTGAGTGTCCTCAGAGTAGAATCACATGCCAAAGTTGTGGGCAGAATTGTAACACTTTATACCAATGGCTGGTCAGCTTCAAATTTCCACCACTTCCAAGGTTTCTCAATAACTACGGAGTAACAAGTACTTTATATTTATAAGCTACTCATATATGAAGCTGACTTTTTCTTTGCAGTCTCTTCCAGTTTCTCTCAAAGACACTATGGTGGAGTGCAAAACTGTGAAACTATTACTGATTCATATCTGAGCTGTGATTCGAAAAGTCACCAACAACATATCAGCTAGCTGAAGAGCAAGTCTTATAGCTTTTGTCACAGATAATAGTGGTGAGTCTTTATCTGCTCGTAATACCATTACTGTGGAGTTCCCAAGAATTCTGTGCTTTCCCTACACCAACCAGATTAATTTCATTGTCAGAGATTATCTGAACAAATATGGGGCACAATTCTTGGCACAAGCAAGAATAGCCAATCAGCTCATCACATAGTTTCATAGCCACCTTTGCATCCTTGGCCTGCTACAGGAAGTTTAACTGTGCACATGCTATAGAACTCTTACCATTATACAAGCTGTCATCACTTCAAAGCTTTGCACGAGTCTACCCACAGCTTGATCCAGAGTTGCAGTCACAAGTACCCGTCCATCTAAAGAGGCTACTTAAATCCACACTGATCCTTTTCTCACAGATCTCATGCACCTGCAAGTCACATATTTGCAAGTATACAGGTGACTCACAGATCAGACATTCAGTGTAGCATTAAAATATGAATATTTTTTGTAGCAGGTATACAGGTTCAAATATATACATTCAAAAGTCTGAGTCAGATTGTTCAGAAAATGTAGCCAAACATGGCATATTACTGTCTGAGTCTGAGTTTGATGCTGTGTACTCTTCAATGTCCTTCTCAGTAGTAGAAGAACCTTCGTCAGGCACCACATGCTCTGTTGAGCCTATTAAATGACCTCTAACACTGTCAGTGACATACTCCTCACTTGTTTGTGCTGTGAAGCTTACACTGTCACCTTGTGCCTGACTGATAGCAACATTCTACAGCTATATTAGCCAATGGAAGTGTAGTGCCAATAAAATATACTCAACAGGTACATCTTCTAGATGTTTTGTGGAGTACAGTCAGTTGGTGAGCTGGCAGGCTCTAGGAATGCTGCATCGTAGATAGAGTAATTGATGTCACAAAGGATATCCATCCATTCAGTGTATTTGTTGTGATAACATGCAAGGTACTGGTGTACGAGAGAAGACTGTGGATCAAGAGTAACCTAGTAGATTGCTTGTCAACTATAGTCCACAATTGTAGCCATGTTATGACATATCCACGAAGAGATGCCATCTGGAGTGATCAGCTCTATAACCTTTGTCTCCATCACCTTCCCATCAGCACAAAAGAACCAGTCCTGAAGTGCGCACAGGCGTAGTTGGCCACCCAGGTCACCATTGACAACTTGAGCATTGGTGGCCATTCTTGGAGGGGTGAATTGTCTGAAGTCTTTTGATGTCGTTGTCACACACATCAGCATCTTTGGTAATAGATATTTTAGTCAGAAATTCTGAAGGACATCATACAACGCACAAGTCTCACATACCTGCAAAACAAACAGTCCATTGATAGGACCTGAGTCTGAGGCAACAACAAAGAGGGAGCATGCTCAATTTGCCTTTACGAGGGCATGAGACCAGTTCCACGGAGTTTGAATTGGTCTTATAAACTTTGCGTAAGGCATCTCGTAAATGTTGCTCTTGCTCCAGCTCACTTCCCTGATGGCTGAACCCTGTGGTTTGTAGTGTCAAACTGTTTGTATCAATGCTGAGTAGATTGCCATTAATACTAATGAGAGTGGACAGACCTTCAGCTCAATGCACAGTCATGAAGAACACAGTGGCTCAAGTTGTGCCTCTCGCTCACTATCGCCATCCTAGCCAAATAGCAGTGAAAGCAAATCCACTGCGCTGGGCATGGAGGTCCAAGGGCAAATGGTTGGCTGATGAGTAATGTGAGTCGTTCAGGTCTTTCTTACCCCATTTATGCTCTGACATCAGGTGTCTCTGTTTTGCCCCCCCTTCCTTCCACTTTGCACTGTAGTATGCCCACAAAGAAAGCATCTTGAAAGTGCTGCAGGACAGTTGCCTCATCAGATGGCAAAGATCAGCAGTCTACGAGCTAGGAGGCCAGCATTCCACACGCATTGTCTTCAGAAATTGAAGTGATATCAGCCAACATAGCCAAAGCTGCCAAGAACATAAAGCGTGTGGCCTACGAGAAGCATTGGAAGACCTCAAAACAAACTCCAGAGCAAGTACGAGATGAGTAGCAATAATTTGATACCTACTGCACTCATTAATATCACACTGTACTTTAGATAAGCAAATGGAAACTTGGATATCTGATGTCTACAATCATTTCAAGAAGCTGTGAATAGAAGCTCATCTTAGTGGTATTATCAAATATGTCTTTACTTGCAAACATGAACCGTGAATCTTTCTAAATGTTTACCAGAAACCATCACTAACTATAACTCTAGTTTGGTGACAATTTCCCGCATTCAGTGGGACCACTTTGCCAGCAACCTATTGCATCATGCTAAGACATGTGAAGCAAAGATAGCTCCAGAAGGTGAACACATCACCAACTTTGCACATGGATCTATATAACTGCAGACTTATGCAAGGCCACACTGGTGTGTACCTCAGTGAACAGCTAGCCCTTTGTTTGAAGGAGTTTCAGATTGAGAAAAAGGTACATTCCTTGATGCTATGGCTTTTGTTGTGTGCTGACTTATTCTGGCAGATTCTCGCTATTACTGCTGATAATGCTACAAACAATGATACAATGGCAGCTGAACTAGAGTCACTTAGAGAAGCCAACTCAGTGCACACATGTATTCGGTGCTTTGCACATATATGGAACTTGGTCGTTAAGGTAGCTACTGCTGTATACCTCTCACAAACATTGCTAACATTTATCATACTATAGGCTATGATCACATTTTTTACTGCGCAATGTAAGAAGGTGAAAACAAGTGACAACAATGATGATGCCAATTTCGACAATGACAATCTGGCTCTCACCGAGCTTCTCACTGCTATGGAGAAAGATACATCTGACACTGATGACAGCAACAATGCCAACTACAGAAGTGAATTTGAGCTGAATGCCAACCGTGAAGCTGCTGATGAACACGCCATCAGCGACATCATTGAGGAAATGAAAGTAGAGCGAAAGCAAACTGCAAAAGAGCAGTGTCTTAGTCTCCATGCAGTTACCAAGGTATATCTTGGCATTGTCTGCAGTTGACTCTGATGCTAATTTGCACTAGCTCATGGAGCTTGTGAAGCAAATGTTCCATTCTCCAACCATGCGCAAGAATCTTGCTGCTAGCTTTGAGAAGGCAAAGTTATCTCCGAAGAGATCATCCTTGGCCCTAGTATTAAACTTGATATAGCAGCAGTTTGTACCAATGGCAATACATCATATAGTAGTAAGTCTTATAGTAACTATAAAAGGCAGCTTTAAGTCTATAAAGGCTGTTTGGCACCTTTCGGCATGTCTGGAACCTCTATATAACATAGAATAGACTATTAAATATATGCTATATATGGGAGACATTATATGATATAACGCATTTGGGCGCTTATCTTCGTTTTATATCATGGAAAGGTGGAGAACATATGTAGAAACATATCTGCTATATTAAACATATGTCAGAACTCAATATTGGGCCCACTATTCATAAAATACTCGCCAAGAGTCGAGTTTTTGCAGATTTAGTGTGGATTTAAGCCCGATCAGCTCCATTAAGTGCCACCAAGCTGCTATCTGGCTATTTGGCTCCTTACATCAATTTCGCTTTTTGGAGCCTTTCCTAGCTCAATTCCTTTCCCCCATGTTTCCCCTGACCTCCAAACATTGTAGGTTTGGTATATATACCTATTTAGAGTGTCTATGTACAGCTTAGAACAAATTGAACTGCTGTATAATATATTATTCTATTGTTTCTATTAAAATTTGATTTTCTTCGTCCTAGAAGTAGAACAAAGCCCCTTGGAAAGATGTTACTGTCTTTACAATGCTATACAGTTATAATATACATGAAAGAAAGTGTATAAGATACTTTGGGAGGTCTAGAACATGCTGTAACTCCTCCCAGAGCCTGCAAAGTTTAGCAAAAAAAAGATGCTCAATCACAGGTTTTCTTATACTGGGAGAATTCGTTTTGGGCCTATTATTAAACGCATATACTTAGTTTTCAATTCCATGCCTCAGAACCCATCTGATCTAGCAGATTTGACCATGGGAAACAGGTGCTTTTTCGCTGTTTTGGCCACAATTTGCCTCCTACAAGTTGAACCACTTAGAATCAGACGGGCGGACCGCTCCCAATCCATTTCTAGCATAGAAAAGCAGCAGGATGCAAATTTTTGGGTGCATAGGACAAGTATTGGGGGTGTGGTGCACTGGTTAACCTTGGGGTGGCCTGTTGATGAGATTCTGAGCACTTTGAAAGCATCAAACTTGCACAGATGTGTGCTTGGCGTCCACAACACAGGTATGGAGTAGGACACCACCTGGAAAGATTATGATATGTCTAAATAGCATGTTCCCAGCTGTAATTGATGTGTATTGCACTGTGAGCCGTGGTGTGCTTGCATTTGTACTGTTCTGAGGCCAAATTTCGATGTTTTTGACATTTGGAGGTGTATGTCATTTTCTTCCCACTGTGCATGAGGTTTTTAAACTTCTAGATGTTGTTTCCCAATGTAAATGCAGTCTATATAATATTTATAGGAATTTATAAGATGTGTAGAAGGTACAGGACAGTGTACAAGTTTCTATGTCTTCGCATTTTGAGGGTTTTGAGCTCCTGTATGCATTACTACATGTCCTAAAACACTCTGAATTGCTTCCCCATACTATTATGTACCCAGGGCCATCCCCATATCTTCCAAGCACTATAGAAGGTGTGAGAAGACATGTTTCTGATGCTTATTTTAAGTTTGAACACCATTTGATGCACAGTATGCTGTGGAGGCTATCAAA